GATGAGACAAGTTTTCTACTATAAATGGATCTCAGATTTATCATGAATCATTTCAAGAATGTGAGTGTGGAGAATAATGGAGATTAATTTTAACTATGTGTAAATCTAAAATGGGAGCACAGTGACTTTTTAGAATAATCACTGGACTGCTAACCACAAGGTCAGTGTTTTGATTCCATCAGCATTCTGTGGGAGAAAGATGAGACTTTCTGCTCCCGCAAAGACTTACAGGCTCGGAAACTCGATATAGGGTTACTATGAGTCAGAACCAACTTGATGACACTTACCAACGACTCTAAGATGAGATGACGTTGGCTAATGCCTGCAAGGCATCGTCTAGAAATTGGCCTTAGATCTTTAGTAGAATTTGTTTCCTAATAAAATAAGGATAAATACTTGACCACTCCTCAGAAATCCTATACATGATTGCTAAGAGTTGTACTTAACAACAACAAAGCATTTATCAGGCCCTCACCACAAGCCTGGCCCTGTGCTAAGCATTTTGCATGTGTCTATTCATTTGATTCCTCACAGAAACTCTATAGAATGAGTACTATGATTACTCCAGGAGTCACAGGTAGTATTAAGTGGTTAACAGAGGTGGCTACCAACCACAGGCATCTCAGAAGAAAGGCCTAGTGATCTACCTCTGAAAAAAAACCATTGAAAACTCTATGGAGCACAGTTCTACTCGGACACACATGGGGTTAACATGAGTTCAAATCAATTCAACAATAAAAGTTTAACGATTGCCCCATTTTTATGAAGGAAAAAACTAGGGTATTTGATGTACAAGTAGTGATATGAACGGATCTAAAAATATAATGCTTAGTTTTAAAAAGTAAGAGATGTAATACAAAATACAACACACCACCATTTACAAAACCAATACACATTTTGTATGTATCCAGACAAACCATCAAACATGTTAGAATGGTTAACCATGGAGAAAAGAACAGAAGATGAAAATCAGATAAAAGGAAATGTAGTTGACCCTTGAACAACAAGGTAGTGAGAGGGGCTGACACTTTATACATCCCATGCAGTCAAAAATTCACATGCAATTTTTGATTCCCGAAAAAGTTAACTACTGATAGCCAACCGTTGACTGGAAGCCTTACCGATAGCATAGACAGTCAATTAACACATGTCCTGTATGTTATATGTATTGTATACTGCACCCACATAAAAGTTGTATTTTCAATATGAGATAAAATAGTATTTGGCAAAAGTACAAGGCTTTCTCGCCTACTGGCATAGCTTCAGTGACAGCTTCACAGATTTCATTTTCTTTTTTTTACAATGGGCCTTATGCTGGGTTCATTTGTCTTGAAATCACGGACAATCACAGCAGTAGAACTCAACCTATATCAAGCAAGTCAAGTTTTTCTTATAACATCATGACTTTTCCTTGCTATTGGGAAGAACTTCCAGCATCACTAGTGGCACTTCATATGGGTCCCATGGTGTCACTGAAGGTTTACAGCATTGCACTGAACACAATGAAAACTACAGGAAGACCAAAAGAGATCATTTTTCACTGCAATATGCAGTTTACTCAAGAGATGAACTGCTCCTGCAGAGATGATTAATGTCATATGGTGTATTTCCAAAAACTCACAAGTGGTCCCACACAGTTCAAACCCATGTTATTCAAGGGTCAGCTGTAAATAGATAACCACAGGGGGCCTTGCACACAACAATGAAACAATGTGCCATGAATTGAGCTATAAAATACCCCAACCCTCTGTATTCAAGGTCTAACTTTGAAAAAATAAAAATAGCCCAAAACTTAGAGTTGAAAACCAGCTGTCATTGAATTAACTCCAATTCATGGTGATTCCAAGTATGTAAGAGTAGAGCTCTCCTCCACTGGATTGTCAACCTGACATTTTGGAAGTAGATCTCCAGGTCTTTCTTCCAAGGTACCTCTAGTGGATTTGAACCTCCAATGCTTTGGTTAACAGCTCTTACTGTGTTAACAATTTGTACCACCCAGATAGAATCCTGGTGTGGCACTGTGGGTTAATGTGCTGGACTGCAAGGTTAATTTGAACCACAAAGTTGGCAGTTCAAGCTTACCAGGCGCTCCTTGGAAACCCTATACAGGGTCACTATGAGTCAGAACCGACTCAACAGCACTTAACAACAAGAAGTTATTCATATATTGCTGCAGGTTTCAGAGCTCGAAACCTGGACTTGCTCTGCAGCTTGACTGTAGCTAATCTGTGAATCTTCAGTTCTTGGAAAAATATTTGCTACATAGCTAAACCTGTTTGTTGTTTTTGTTATGTGCCATCAAGTTTGTTTTGTCTCACAGTGACTCTGGGTAGGGTTTCTGAGGAGCAGCTGGTAGAACCACTGACCTTTTGGTTAGAAGTCTCAGGGTTATCTTTCAGCGCCAAACCTGTTTAGGCTTCAATATTTTGCTTTAGCAATTACACAGCTTTAATGTGATCATTTCTTATATGCCAAGACTAAGAGTGCACTGACCAGTCCATCATTCACCTATTCATTCAGCAAGCCTTCATCGCATACTTACTATGTGCCAGGTACTGGGACAGGCAGAGGAGAATGGAAAGTGATGAGCCTGAGCTCTATCCTCAATGTGCTCTCAGGAACTGAACCACTCTCTAACCACCCATGCACCACAGACTCATGACAACCTTGTAGGACAGAGTAGAGATGTGCCTTAGGGTTTCTGGGACTGTACATCTTCATGGGGGCAGACAGCTTCAGCTTTCTCCTGTGAAACTGGTGGATATGAACCACTGACCTTAGGTGGTTAGCAACCTAATGCCAGCCAGCACCAAAGACCTTTCCTGCTGGCCCTCTGCAGACCACTGTTAAGATTACAGACATGAAACTGAAATCCACTTCCCTACATATGACGAGTTTCTTAAACACATCTCTTCCTTAAGTACAAAGAAATTTTGCTATAAAAGTGAATAAGAAAAGAGTGGAGTGTGGGACCCTACTCAGAGAAGCAGTGACGCCAGAGATGGAGGCAGAGACGTAGAGAGATGGAGCAGCTGGGGACTCTAGACTCAGGGAGGCAGAGGGGCTGTGTGTTGACAGCTAGGGGAGGGGAGCTGGGCAGGCTTGCAGGAGCAGGGTGTACCCTTTGGTTGTTTGAATGATTATATATTCCTGAGTGCTTCGGTGTACATCCAAAAAAATAATAACAATACAGAGGGAATGGAAGCAAATGCTGTTGAATGATGATGCATGGAGGAGATTGTAATCATTGCAATGAAACGAAATATGATAGGATTAATGTAAAGTTGATGTTCTCCCATGTAACCTAGCACTCAATTCAATTCACAATAAAAACTTGAAGAAAAAAAAAGTGACTAATGCTCATTCTCATTATTTGAAATATATTTCTCTTGTATCTCATCTTTCAAAGTGGGTTATCCAAATAAAGACAATACACATTAGCTACAACCCTACTAAAGGTAGCCAGATCTGTCTTGTTAGCTCATGTGGCAACCTCCCTTTCTGAGCTTTGTTGTTATCATTGTTAGGTGCCTTCAAATCTGTTCTGACTCATAGCAACCCTGTGCATAGCATGATAGGAGGTGAATATATTTCAGAAACAAGGAATGCATAAAAGGTTGGAATAGGGATTTCCAGTGTGATCCTGAGGAAACCACAAATTCCCAAGAGTAGTAGGCTTGGCTTAGGCTCCCTTGGAGTCAGTCACTTGACTTACCTCAATCGTTTTACAGGTATCTTCCAGCTGGCTGATCACTCCCTGAACTCGATCATTGCTTCCCACAAGGATGGCGATACCATCGCTGAGTTCCGACTGATAAAGAAAACAGGGGGTACAGGAGTTTAGGGGTTTTCTAGTCACTACCAACTGTGCATTAGTACTAGCACTGTCCTTATGGATTCTTACTCTACAGCCCCTTAGAATAATAGGGAGTTTGGGAGGCCTGTGAGCCTCCTGATATCACATGCAGATTTTTGTATATAGTGCATAAATGCATTTTCTGGGAAGAAGTTTCATAGTTTTTATTAGATTCTTAACGAATAGTGTGGTCCTGCTAAATACATTTTTTGTTGTTGTTATTGTTAAGTGCCATCAAGTCATTCTTACTCATAGCAACCCTGCATAGAATTTCCAAGGAGCAGCTGGTGGGTTTGAACCACCCACTTGGTGGTTAGCAGTCAAGTACTTATCCTATAGTGCTGCACCAGGACACTGAATTATAAACTGTAGATATAAATAGCGTGTTCAAGTGAAAGAGTTGCCATAACCAGTAATTGCATTTGACCCTGATTCACACTGTGTTTCAGAGAACTGTGCTCCATAAGGTCTTCTGTGGCTGAGATTTCAGAAGTAGTTTTTAACAAGTCTTTCTTTCAAGGTGCATAAGATGGAGTTGAACTTCCAAAGCTTTGTGTTACCTGCCCATTAACTATTTGCACTGCCCCATAGGATTTCCAAGGTTACAAATCTTATGGAAGCAGACTGATGTATCTTTCTCCCATGGTGGATT